CTTTAAGTCCTGCAAGTTGCCATGTGGGGCCTCCATGGATCCGATTTGCTGTTCCAGCGCATCCCACAGATGCTCAATCAGATTGAGATTGGGGAATTTGGAGGCCAAGGTAACACAATGATCTCTTTGACTTGTTCCTCAAACCATTCCTGAACAATTTTTGAAGGGTGGCAGGGTGCATTATTCTGTTGAAGGTGTCACAGAGCCATACCCCAATTTATAGGAATGACCAATCCCACAAACAGATACTAGATATATGTATTACTGGGCCTTAGAGTGGCCGGATTTAACATTAATAAAGATAAAAATATAGATAGTAATAGCCAAGGTGAGGAATATAGAAATACAGATAAACAGAATAACAGTCTAGGTCAGGATACCAGAAATACTAAAGGCCAGAAACAAGCAGGATCAGGATACCAGAAAAACACAAAGTCAAATAAAGCTCATGGTCAATTTTAGAGACTTATTATAAGTACCAATGTGTATCAAGAGAGAAACCACGATAGGGCAATTAACAGGGATCAAAATACATTTTATATAGGCTATCACATTTAAATGGCCCATGACGCCAAATGATTGAATATGGGGTTGCCTAGATGACTTGGTGACTTTAAGAGCAGGCGTGATGTCACATTTTTTAAATACATAAAAGATGCACCATTCAAGCAGACAGAATCTAAGAATCAATGCTTTCTTATGAGGAAATAGCAAACGCTGGATGTCCTCATGCAGTGCGTGAGAACGTCCAGCATCAGTTATTGGACCAAAAGTCCGGTAACATTCCAGAAGCACCTCTTGTGGCTGTCTGGTAGACAGCCACTAGAGGCGCTCTTAGTGCAGCACTTAGTGCAACAGGGACACTTTACCCAGATCACTTCAATGAGCTGAAGGTGTCTGGGTGCCTATAGCAGTGGTGTATCCTGGTTTTGTGCTGCCCTAGGCAGGACAAAACGCAGGCGCCCCCCCCTTCCCCCCGCGCCAACCCCCCCTGCACCAACCCCCCCCGCCTTCTAAATACACACACACACATTCACTGACAGATACGCATACACTCGCTAACAGAAACACACACACACTAACAGATACACTCACACTCACTAACAGACACACACTCACTAACACTCACAGGCAAACACACTCACACAGTCAGACACACACACACTCACTGACACACTAACAGACAAACATAGTCAGACACACACAAACAGACACACTCACTCACTAGCAGACACACACACACACACTAACAAACACACACACATTAACAGACACACACACACTCACTGACACACACACACACAGGCAAACACACACTCACTGACACACACACACACAGGCAAACACACACTCACTGACACACAGTCAGACACACACACATACACACTAACAGACACAGTCAGACACACACTAACAAAACACACACACATTAACAGACACTCACTCACATTAACACATTTTTTTATTTATTTTTATTTAGCCCCCCCCCCCTTACCTTTGGGAGTGCTGGGGGGGAGGGGTTCATTACCTCCCTGGTGGTCCAGTGGATGCCGGCTGGGCTAGGCAGGCGGCTGGCGAGGGAGCTCTTCCCCTGAGCGGTCTGCTCAGCTCCCTCGCGCGCCGCAAAGTGAGGCTGGGAGCCGGGTTGATGACGTCATCTTCCGGTTACCAGCCTCACTCTGCGGCGCGCAAGGGAGCTGAGCGGACCGCTCAGGGGAAGAGCTCCCTCGCCAGCCGCCTGCCCAGCGCCGCCCGCCAGCCCAGCCGGTCAGTTAGCCGCGAGGCTAACAAAGCATTTGCCTGGGCATTTG